CATCACTCTAGCCAGTTTGAAAGATCCTTTCAGAATATAATCAATTCTTACATGTGGAAAGTCTTTAAAATAAAGCTTAAGATGTTATACATTTGTTTATTCAGCAGAATTATTTAAAAAGTCAAAATATATAATAGTCCAATGACTAAAATATGAAGGAAGTACACAGATAATTTTCTAAAAGGCAGATTCCATGGCTGCTGTTTCTTTCGAAACTCCTCACTATCCAAAGAAATATTATTTAAAAATTGCTTTTAAAAAGTCAATGTGTACCCAAATAATAAATGTCCAAGAAAAACAGCTATATGCTATTTGTTGTACAGTTTTTCAACTAAAAGGTGCGAGGGAGATTCCATGATTACCACTAGTAATTTGAGCCACTAAAGATTTATACTGGCAAAAATATAGATGTCACACTAGTATGATTTAAGAGTCAAAGTATTAATATTTGTCTAATTAAACCCTAACCAAATTTCATATGGTCTCTATTGGGGAAAGCATTTCCTAATGTGATTTCTCTGTTGCTATGTATCTTCCAGTTCATTTTTGTTCAGCCCCCACCCTGTCACAGAACTTACCAATCTTTTGTTAGTTACCAACATTAAATAAAATTTTTTAATCTACTAAAAAAAATTGATGTGCTAAAAAAATACAAACACCTTTACTTTGGTTTATTTATGCAGACAATGAACATCTTTCATTGAACTTTCTGTGATCTGGAGTATACATGGTGCCCAGGAGATTTTAAATCGTGGGCTATATTTATCCACTATTAACAAAATAGGAAAATGGGGCTGAGCCTAGGCTTTTCCTTTCCTCCCTATAATTTCCTCTGTTTCTAATTTTGTAGCAATCAAGTTTCAACTAGTTAATCAAATGTCTTTTGTGTGGCAGGTGCCAGGGTGTTTGTTTTCATTAGTGTACCAAATGCCATATTTAGGAACTTGGCCTTTTGGTTAACTGGCTACAAGCATGGCTTTAAACCATTAAATGTGTGTATTTAAACTCAGCATTTATTTTTACATCTCCTTATCCAAATAATCAGGATGTGGTTATCTGTAAGATGATCCATCATGATTTTTCCTATATACACCCAAGCACAAAAATATATACCTCAGACATAATCATCAATACTATAAACACTCATCATTCTGTGCCATTTATAAGATTACAGAGACAAGGCAAAACCTGGTTAGGAAAATGTACATAAAAATAGTTAAAGGAAATCCACATAGAAAGACATATAAAATTGGGCAATTTTCACTTTTGAAACCTATTTTTATGATAAAAAGGAAGAAAGGAAACATAAACAATTGGAGTTTGTCTTTGATTAAATGGGACAACAATTTCTTTTAAAAAGATATATAGGCCAGCGCAGTGGCTCACGCCTGTAATCCCAGCACTTTGGGAGGCCAAGGCAAGTGGATCACCTGAGGTCAAGAGTTCGAGACCAGCCTGGCCAACATAGTGAAATACCATTTCTACTAAAAATACAAAAAATTAGCTGTGCATGACAGCAGGCAACTGTAATCCCAGCTACTCGGAAAGAGGCAGGAGAATCGCTTGGACTTGGGAGGCGGACGTTGTAATAAACCAAGATTGTGCCATTGCACTCCAGCCTGGGCAATAGAGTGAAACTCCATCTCAAAAAAATAAAAATAAATAAAAGATATATTGGAAATATGAAATAATTTTTAAAATACAGTTATGTTCTTAGTTATCCTCCTTTATATAAAGTTAAAGAGACATCAGGAAAATCAGGAGAAAACACAATTAAGTGGCTGGTTTCTAAAGTGATGGCTAATACAGGATTTGGTTGGTATTTTCATCAGATAACTATTGCATTCTTACTGGTTATTTTCTCAATTTGGAGACACAGTCATGATTTACTGGTCTTTTGTTTTTTGTTTTTTATATCCTTACTGAAAATCTCAGTCCAAATATCAAGTTAGGAAAAAGAGAACGCAGAGAGAATTTACTGCTCCCTTTCAGAAAAGAAAAGAACTAGCATTATGTGACAAGACTCTGAAATAAACTCATTGGTGTCATAGTGAACAACTATTTTAAACATTACATAAAAGTCCAAATTATATTTGATAAATAAATGTTATGGACAGTGACAAAATTGCTAAAATATTTTATCTCAATTTTAAGTCTTAACTGACATAGTTCATTCAGATGCCATTCTATTTAGATAAAACATTTGTTCACATACCAGCATGTAACATTTATTAGTAAAATCTAACTGTTTCACAGTTACAAGTTGTTTTTTGTTGTTGTTTTTAGGAATGTGAGCCAAAGTTTTTTTATTTTTTTTTTCGTTTCTTGCATTTGAAATACTCTCTGATAATGTCCTAGGCTTAAAATTCTTTTCCATAGTCCTTAACTGCTACACAACTGCAATCAATCACTTGTCAGGGTCTTCCCTCTCTTGTTAGTTTTACAGGGGCTACCTGTGTGAGTCTAGTCTCACGCTGCTATAAAGACACAGCTGAGAATGGGTGATTTATAAAGAAAAAAGGTTTAATTGGCTCACCGTTATGTAGGCTGTACAGGAAGCATGGCTGGGGAGGCTTCATGAAACTTACGATGTTGGTGGAAGGCAAAGGAGAAGCAGGCGCCTCTTCACATGACCAGAGCAGGAGGAAAAAGAGAGGAGAGGTGCTATACACTTTTAAATAACCAGATATCGCGATACCTATCAGGAGAGAACAGCACCAAAGGGAAACCTGCCCCCATTATCCAGTTGCCTCTCTCCAGACCCCACCTCCAACACTAGAGGCAACTCACGGCAGTGGGTTACCAGTGGCACTCACCCAAGCCTCTACCTCTGTGGGAACTCAGTGAGCTCAAGGAAAGAGCCGCAGTAACAATTCTTCAAGAAAATGTCAGAAAAAAATCTTGGGTCATGCCGGAACAAATGTAGTTATTAAGGAAATATTTAATGATCTCTCATATTCTTTCACATACAGGTTATAAATAGTAAATGAGATAGAAAGGGGATTCATGAATCAATTCAATCCTCTTAAAGCTCATTTGAGATGGGAATTGCTTCTCATTTCACAAACAAGTAAAATGAACCTTGAGTAGGGTAAATGATGACATATTCAAGGTTACACAGATATTAAAGCAAAAACATGACTCAAATTCAATCTTTCAGATTCCATTCTAGCATCCATTTTCTCTTTACCTCCAGCAGGTTTTCCAAATGATTTTTTTAAGCAAACAGAGTTTCCTGAGACTTTTCATTCATAAAGGATGAACTTGGAAGGCTTTCCCACTGCCATGTACCAAGTGGCAAAGCTTGGAATCATGCCTATTTTGTTCTACCTCGTGCTGCATGATCTTTCCTCAGTAGAGCAATGCCCCATTTTACCTACAGTTTCGTAACTCACAGTAGTCAAACTGGCAGCAGGTTCAGCCTGATGTAGACTATAGATGAGCTTTAGCTGGCTGGATAGTGACTTTTTAATCTAAAAAGTCAGACACATATAAATAACACATCTTTGTGCTCATTACCCAGAATTAACAAGGGTAACATTTTTACATATTTGCTTTAAAATATATATAGGTTTAAAACCCAGTCCCTTATATTTTTCTCTATAATTTTACTCATTTTTTCTTCTCTGCAGAGGTAATCATAATCATGAATCAGGTTCCAAAATGTATGATATTGCTTTGGGCATTTACATTTTCAGTAAATTGTATGAAAGTCATGTACTGTTCTACACTTCCCGTTTCTCCCCAAAACTGTTTTTTGAAATCCATGCATATAAATCCAAACATATATTTAAGTTATTTGTTTTCACAGTAAATATGTATTTAAGTCATTTACTTTAAGTCAGTAGTTTGACTACATCTCAGTTAATAAATCTATTTTCCCTTGAGTGGGGCACTTGGGTTGATTCCAGTTTTTGACTACTATAAGCAATGAGGCTATGAACTTCCAGATACATGTCCTCATATAAACATCGACAGTTTCTCTAAGGAATATATATACCTAGAAGTGAAATAAATGCATCCTAAATAGGAGATAAGCATTTTCAACCTTTGTGTAAATTGCCCAATTTTCTCCAAATGATTGGATTCATTTTCAACTCCACCAGAATTTTTTGTGTTTTTGTTTCCTGAAACCATTCTAACATTGCAAGGTTCGACCAAATTTTTGCCAAACTAAGTGTATAAAATGGTATTTCACTTCTCTTTGTATTAGCATTGAAGAAATTGTACATGTTATGGAAAATTTTGTCCATTCATTTTCTATGAAATTAATGTTTATAACTTTGGCCCATTTTTATTTAATTGTGTGTCAATCTTTAAAGTTGTATTTAAAGGATTTATTTACATTTTCTAAATGATAATCTTTTATTTATGTATATATCAAAAATACCTTCCATTAAGTAATTTGTCTTTTGATATTGTATCTTATATGTAATTTTTCAATTTTGATATAGTACTATCTGATAGATTGAATAACAATTTCGAATCTTGCTTATGAAATCCTGACATAACACAAGGACATAAAAAAATTCTCCTACTGATGGTGGGTGTTTTGAATTTTGGATTTAAATAGTTTTAGACACCACAGTCTCTCTGGTTCACCACAAACCAATAAGAACTTATTCTCTAATGCCTTGCCACTGTTACAAATTTCTCCTCAGGTACATATATAGAATTGTAATCTCTAGATTTGACAGACAAAAAATAAAGTTATGTTAACTGTATTTCACAGATTATGGGTTAGTTTGAATTAAATTATTATTATAGCCGTACAGCCCTAATCTAAGTTGCCATGGAAAAGAAACCTTGATAGAATTCATTCTGGGAGATGAACAGCTTCTATTAAGTATTAGTTACGTTTCGTAGAGATGCACTCCAATATACTGAAACTGAATAATTTGGTTTACCATTTACCTCTAAGAGTCCTTTTAGGAGCTTTTGTTTTTCATCTTTACATTTCAAATGAATTCAGTGCTAACGATGACATATGCCACCCTCAGATGCTGGACTGGAGATTGGCTAGTGCACGTTTCATCCTGGCTGTGACTCTGATACTGTGGAGCTCAGGACAAGTCCTCTCAATAGATGTAACAACAACAGAGGTAATGGAAACTAGCTTACAAAAATATAAATATATATGTAGATATATATATGTTTGACATGTTTTATAAATGACATGTTTATATATAAAAGCATATGTGTTAAAATATATTTTATATACATAAATATAATTTTTATATATTTATATATTATGTATTATGTTTTTATATAGAACATATATTTTATAAATGTAATATATATACTTGCATATTACATATATATTCTTTCATTAACATATCATTTCTACTAGAGTAAGAAGCAGGTGCAGCTACTAATAAGAAAATGTACACAAAATAAAATAGAGAAATAACACGAAATCAAGAAAATCAGTATTTTTTATTGTCTTATTTTTGTTGCCAACATGACATTCAAGGTTGTGAACTTTAAGTGAAAAGCGCAGTAATCATGAACTTCTCCCCACAGAGGAGTCAGAGCAAGCCAGTTATCTCAATGTGGAAAGAAATTTAAGAACAAAGATTTGTATTTCTTGAACAGAAAAGCTTAAGAGAAGATCCATTATTATAGCCACATTTAATTAAATCAGCTATGCCAGAATTAGAAATGCTTTTATGTGAAATTTGAAGTGGTTTGCATGAGACAATTTGAGTAGTTTTCTTCAAATTTTTAATTACAGTACAAATGTTTTCTTGGTGCTGTGACTAAAGTACAAAGTAAAGGAAATATGAGGACATCACAAGGAGGAAAATTAGTTTATTTGTTCTTTTTTGTTAAATCTTTTTTTTAGTTTATTTGATCTTATTAGAAACATATTTTTTGTGTTTCTTAAATAGCATAAAGTCGAGAGTCTGAAATGCATTAAAGGACAAGTTTTATAAAAGTTTTATGATTTTTTTCTGAAGATTAAGGATTTTGCTTTAAAAATGATTTTTTGTGTGTGTTAGTTCAAAAAATGAAAGGATATTTTTGGAGGATGGTTTGAAAGATAAAAAATCTTTGCCTTTTGAAGGTTTATCTCCTTTAAGGTTTCTTTCTAGTCATTTCTGCATCCTTCCTATCTCCAGTTTCTATTTTGTCAGATTTATATAAGGAAGTGACAGAAGCTAAGATCTGTGGAATAGTTTGAAACCATACTGTGGGCTTTGTACTACAAGTAATAAAGGACTCCAAGAGATTTTTAATTTTCTTTTTATAAGACAAAAGTTGTATTGGGGAAAACTAACTTTATGACAGTATTATGGATGAAACAGAGAAGGGGGAGATAGGAGGTATCGAAGCAAATTATAAGGCAGTATGCTAAGCAGTAAAGAGTACTTGATTTAAAGTCACCACTTGGATCACCTGAGTCAGGAGTTGGAGAAGAGCCTGACCAACATGGTGAACCCAATCTCTACCAAAAACCACAAAAAAAATTTAGCCAGCTGGTGTGCATCTGTAATCCTAGCTACTTGGACGCTGAGGCAGAAGAATCACTTGAACCTGGGAGGCAGAGGTTGCAGTGAGCCAAGATTGCACCACTGCATTCCAGCCTGGGCAACAAGAGCAAAACTCCATCTCGGGGAAAAAAAAAAAAAAAAAGAACACCCCTGATGGGAATCAAAAACAGCAACAAAAAGATTTTCCTGCAAGAACTGACCAGATTGACCAGACTTAGTACATATATGAATGGATAAGGAAACAGGAGGCTTAACAGCTTTCAGTTTGTACATCATGCTATAAGTGTTTTAAAAGAAACTTGCTTGAATCAATGATGAAAGGGCTTGATAATGCTACTCTTTTGTTTTACTGGAGGAAATGAAGAGAACAGAAAACATTTATTAGTCCATTTTCATACTGTTATAAAGAACTGCTTGGCCAGGTGCAGTGGCTCATACCTGTAATCTCAGCACTTTGGGAGGCGAAGATGGGCAGATCCCTTGAGGTCAGGAGTTCAAGACAAGCCTGTCCAACGTGGTGAAACCCCATCACTACTAAAAATGCAGAAATTAGCTGGGCATGGTGATGGGCACCTGTAATCCCAGCTACTCAGGAGGCTGAAGCAGAAGAATCACTTGAACCTGGGAGGCAGAGGTTTCAGTGAGCTGAGATCATGCCATTGCATCCAGCCTATGGAAGAGAGTGAGGCTCCATCTCAAAACACATCAACAAACAAACAAACAAAAACTGCCCAAGTTTGAGTAATTTATAAAGGAAAGAGGTTTAATTGACTTACAGTTCTGCATGACTGCTGAGGCATCAGGAAACTTACAATCATGGCAGAAGGCTAAGGTGAAGCAAGGTATCTTCTTCACAAGGTGGCAAGAAGAAGGCTGAACTTAGGAGGCAGTACCACAGTGGGGATTCTGTGTATGGGCTCTGACCCCACATTTACCTTCCACGCTACCCTAGCAGAGGTTCTCCATGAGGGCTCCACCCCTGCAGCAAATTTCTGCCTAGACTTCCAGGCATTTCCATACAACTTCTGAAATCAAGGCAGAGGTTTTCTAGCCTCAATTCTTTACTTCAGTGCACTGGCAGGCCAAAAATGTGTAAACCAGTGCAAACCACCAAGGCTTGGGGCTTGAACCCTCTGAAAGAATGGCCTGCCTGTATGTTGGCCCCTTTTATCCACAGCTGGGATGCAAAGCATCAAGTCCCATGATTGCACAAAGCAGCAAGGCCCAGGGCCTTGCCCACAAAACCATTTTTCTCTTTTAGGCCTCTGGGCCTGTGGTGGGAGGGGCTGCCATGAAGATATCTGATATGCCATGGAGACATTTTCCCCATTGTCTTGGTGATTAGCATTTGGCTCCTACTTACTCAAGCAAATGTCTGCTGCTGTATTAAATTTCTCCCCAGAAAATGGATGTTTCATTTCTATTTCATCATCAGGCTGCAATTTTTCCAGATTTTTTGCTCTGCTTGCCTTTTAAACATAACTTCTAATTGCAAACCATCTCTTTGTGATTGCATAAAACTGAATGCTTTTAAGAGAACCCAGGTGACATTTTGAATGCTTTGCTACTTAAAAATTTCTTCCACCAGATACCATAAATCATGTCTCTCAAGTTTGAAGTTCCACAGATCTCTAAGGCAGGGGCAAAATGCTACCAGTTTCTTTGCTAACATATAGCAAGAGTCACTTTTGCTTGAGTTCCCAACAAGTTCCTCTTCTCCATCTGAGACCACCTCAGCCTAGACTTCATTGTCCATAAAACCATCAGCATTTTGGTAAAAACTATTCAACGTACCTCTAGGAAGTTTCAAGCTTTCCCACATCTTCTTGCCTTCTTCTGAGCCCTCCAAACTGTTCCAACCTCTGCCTGTTACCCATTTCCAAAGTCGCTTCCAAATTTTTGGGGTATCGTTACAGCAGCACCTCACTCTCTTTGGTACCAATTTACTGTATTAGTCCATTTTCACACTGCTGTAAAAAAAACTGCTCTAGAGTGTGTTGTTTCTAAAAGAAAGTCGTTTAACTGACTTACGGTTCCACATGGCTGGATGGTCTCAGGAAACTTACCATCATGGTGGAAGGTAAAGGGAAATTAAGGCACCTTCTTCACAAAGCAGCAGGAAGAATGAATACAGGAGGAACTACCAAGCAGTTATAAAACCATCAGCTCTCACAGGAACTCACTCACCATCACAAGCACAACATGAGAGAATCTGCCCCCATAATTCAATTACCTCCACCTTATCTCTCCTTTGACATTTGAAGATTACAACTCGACGATATTTTGGGTGGGAACACAGCCAACCATATCAAAAGATAATAGAAGGAATCATCTAAGAAGAAAAACAGGGAGTGAAGAAAAATCAAAACCAAGACCAAGAATCTCGTGCATGGAAGAATGACTAAAAGTAGGAAGGGAAGAGATTCCCCAGAGCTAAAAATGTTTCCCTCATGGGAATATTCTCAAGATCTTAGGGAAAAAAAGCACTATTTGTGGGACTATGGAATGACTCAAGATTATTAATAGTATTTAAGAAGTGCTGTCATTGGGCCTCAGAAAGGAAAAGACAGACTTCACAAACTGGACGGCTAGAGATTTATGACTTGGATGAAGTACAAAGTGGCAATATGTGTAACAAACAAACAAGAAATTTTACACGGGACACAAAGATATTGGGATATCTCAGACACATTGCAGATACTCACTAATATTTGTTAATAAATCACAGGGATGGAGATGGTGAGATGCTTAGACACAGAGACTAATTTTTATTTTTGTATCCCTCATGTCCAATGCAAAACCTAGCTGGATTAGTAATGGCTTGAGTTAGTAAATAATGAATGAATGGTAAAAAGAAAATAGCATGAGGTTTGGTTTGTAATTCATTTAATAAATATTTATCAGAAATTTTTTGAGTACTAACTATGAGCATGAGACTAGGCATTTAATAAAGCAAATGGAAGACAAATTAGACAAAGTCATTGATTAAGATTCAACCTAATAAGAAATACAAATACATTGTAACCAACCTGATATAAGGGAAAAAATAACAAGTGCAATGGCGAAAGAGGTCTATAGATAAAGCATTATGAGAATATAAGGAAGGATGAAGTTGCTGGAAAAGAATCTGAAAAAATGATCTGTAAATATGCTAAATTTTAAAGGCATTCCAGGAGATTTTCTTTTCTTTTCTTGTTGTGTTTTTTTTTTTCCTTTGGTTACACACCCCTCTTCTATGTGTTTCAGTCCCCAAAATCTAGCACTCTCTATGGAAAATAACTTTGTAAGAAATCATAAGGCTGGACACGGTGGCTCATGCCTGCAATCCCAGCACTTTGGGAGGCCAAGGCGGGTAGATCACCTGAGGTCAGGAGTTCAAGACCAGCCTGGCCAACATGAGGAAACCCCATCTCTACTGAAAATACAAAAAATTAGCCAGGCATGGTGATGGGCACCTTTAATTCCAGCTACTTGGGAGGCTGAAGCAGGAGAATCACTTGAACATGGGAGGCAGAGGTTGCAGTGAGCCGAGATCATGTCATTGCACTCCAGTGTGGGCAACAAGAGCAAAACTCCATCTTAAAAAAAAAAAAAAAAAAAAGAAAGAAAGAAATTATAAAATGAGTAAACTGCTCAGTAAGACAAATATTCCTTATAGCCTTCTAAACTGAGAGCAGCAGGCAACAGTAAGATAAATGTCAGTAGCATGTTCCTGACAGGTTGTACAGCAGCTCTGGTTCAAGGATTTCTCCCCCTACATGATTCCTAAGACTGTTTGCTAGTTGATTCTTTGTTTTGGCAATTTGATGATTTTGATGAATTTGCTGTGATCCAGGGGTGTTCAAGTACTTCTCTGAGCATTGGCCTCTGGCTGGGATTATGCTTCAACAGTCTTGAAGTCTTGAAATCACGTCATTGCACTCCAGCCTGGGCAACAAGAGCAAAACTCCATCTCAAGAAAGAAAGAAAAGAAAGGAAAGAAAGAAAGAAAGAAAGAAAGAAAGAAAGAAAGAAAGAAAGAA